ATATATATATATATATATATATATATATATATATATATATATATATATAAACAGCGCCTTTTATATCAGAGAGTTATTTTGATGGAATGGCTGTTGTCCGATATTTAACTTTATCACTAATATCGGCCGATACCGATACCATGCCAATAATGTCATGCATTCCTAAATCATTCCCATCTGCTCACCACAGACTCATGTTCGGACTTCTGTTGTTACACCGTATTGTTTTACATTATTAGTATTTAGCATATATCCTGGATCTTTTAGCGTACCGTTTGGTGTTTGTTATGACGTTTAGTGTATATCTTAGATCCTTTTTTTACTGTTTCTGTTTATACCTTATATTTTGCTATTTCTGGGTGTAACTGGGACCCTGTGTACATAGTTTTGTTCCACCTCATGTACCATATGAGATGGTAATGACAATAAAGTTTACTTGAACTTGAATTTGAATTGCAGCTAGCTGCAGCTGTAGTGTGGGATCACTTCCTGCAGGAATATATTTCTGCTGGAATAACATAAGGTTTGAGTTTGGAGTTGTTTTTAGGATGGCTGTGCGGCTTTTGCCATGCTCAGATTAGCTGTTAGCTAATCAAACTGGTCAGATTAAAGTATTTTCCGCCAAACTGAAAATGTTTAAAGAGCTATCTACATAGAAAATAACAACTATAATATTTCAATAGAATATGCTTAAAAATGTCCAGATTTTTTAAAAGCATTTTGAATGTAATCAAGTTTTCCAAATGGCTTTAGGGGCTGCTGTGGTGTAGAGGTAGGGCAGCCAACATGGGACCAGAAAATCGCAGGTTTAACTCCCTGTCATGCTCACATGTCGTGGTGTCCCTGAGCAAGACATCCAATCCCTAAATGCTCCCAGGGCAACTACGTAGCTACCCGCTGCTCCACCTGGGTGTATCTCAGGTGAGATGGGTTAAATGCAGAGAACTAATTTCATCATTATATGGGAACATACAATGATGACAACACATAGCACTTGCTCTTCTTTCTAATATTGTAGACCTTACCATTCTTTTAACCAAACAGTATCAACAGCAAAGCAAAAACCATAAAGCAAGGTGTCTTCTTTCAAAAGGATAGTGTCAGGGAATAAATTTTGAAGTCCAATGCGATTAAAGACGCGTAACAATTTGATCAGCTCTGACACAAATACAAACGCAAACTCTTGTCTTAATGCAAAATGTAAAAAAATAAAAAAAATAAAAAAGACCCACAGTGGCTATGCTATAAGAAGCTGTCCCTCAAAGAGAACGTGGCTCCTCTGGTCCTCTCGAGAGATGCCCACAGGAGACATGGCCGAACTGAAGTATAGTCAGGAAATTCCATGTCAATATTCCACCCCCTCTGGTATTTTGTCCAAGTTCCAAGTGGTAGCATTCGAGTACATGTCGGGTCTGCTTGAGAACTCAGCAAACACTGGCTGAGATCTAAACTATCACAGTTTTTGAGGTGAAGGGCTCACTGTCAGGGTTCCTGTTGACCTCCATCTGGACTGACTGTGGAAAAAAAAAAAAAAACAACAGACGCAAATGAGATTGGAGATGCAACCAACTGAGAAACACAGACCTGAGCTGAGGAATTTGTACGTAGGTTCTAGATACTATCTGTGAAGGAAGATAAGATGTTATTGTTTCTTTTCTACAAGTTCGATGGTGTGCTCTTATGCACCAAGCAGGATACTATCTACATTTCAGCGTTAAATTTCTTGGAATTTTACAGTTTGCACTTTGGACTACTCGGCCTAAATGCAAGCACAAGACAAACTAACCATTTAAAGAGACTGGATTTAGTTTGTAAAGCATTTCTGATTGTGCTCGATCCCATTGGGACTTCAGCAGCTCAGTTTGAGGTCTGTCATTCTGTTTTTCCTCCATGATTAGGTGAAAAATATCTTCAGGCTGACAAAGCCAAGTTTACACACTTTTAGCAATGAGCCATTCTGTTTCAGCACATAAAGGGTGAATTTCAACATTGTTTGCTAAAATGCTCTGAACCCTCGTTAAAGAATAAGACATTGGACTAAAAGGCATAGTGCTTCAAACCAGTATATATTTAGCATCAAGGTTTCCCATGCAATATGCACTAATGGATCACCATACTAATGCTGGTTATTGACTTTTGAACTGTGTGCTGACAAGCCAGATGGTCCATATCCTCTGTAGCTTAGAGGACGCAATGATCTTATTTCCAGACATTTAAACATTTAAAATTAGATTCTTGTGTTGATAGGACAGTGTTTTTTCCTTTTGGCTTCTATCCATCTGAAACGACCTCAGTCTCAGGATGTTATCAGTCCATTAAATGGTCGTTATTAGTTGTTATCATCCCTATATGTAGCGGTCAAACTATCCCACCTACCTCCTAGTAGGTTTAAAGGTACGTTATTATTGTTATTATTGCTGATAATTGCAGTGTCACACGGAGGTAAACCAGGAAGTGTCATTTTAGTTGTTTTCAGCTTATGTAACCCTTTTCCTAAACTTAAGCTTACACCTGACCCTGAGGACCTACCCTAAACTTAACCCCCTTACCCTTGTGCCTAAACCTAACCAAGACCGTAAACCTAACCACCAGACCCTTTACTCCAAACCTAACCACGTGAAGTTATTATGAGCGCTAACAAAGCTAAAAACAGAGCCTGTTATCATCGCTAACAACGTACCTTTAAACCCACTGGGAGGTACAGGAGGGGCAATCTGACCGCTACATATGGGGATGATAACAACTATTAACGGCCATTTAATGGCTGATAACATCTGAAGCGGTGGTCCCAGACAATACGGAAGTGTTTTCTGGGTCTCATTAACACATTTTATTCTGTGCATGGTAGAGCTTCTTTACTTTAATTTTCAATGTATATGATTATTTACATGAAGGTCAATAGTTAGATGCAGCACAAATTGCAGCAGCGAGGGAATTTGGTGGCATTTCATGCAGGAATATCATAATGTTGTTACTGGAAATCTGTAAAATTGATGTAGAAGTTATAAAATACCTCACATGAAGATGAACTACAAACTTTTTGAAACTGGGGTTGCCTAAAGACAACAGCAGTCCACTTAGTTTATGGCTTCCCTTGAATTAGCCATTAGCTGGCCAGTCTGGTTAGAGATACTTTCTAGTTTAAAACTTTTTACAGATAACCATATTCCAGTTGTACAGGTTGTTTTGCATTGTTTTCCCTTTTTGCAGACATTCATGCACATGAATCATACATATTTAAAATGCATGCACTTTCTTATCATGATTTACCTTGGCACCATTATGTCTGTCGACCTTTGAGCTGGTAGCCATTGTAGTGTTTGGTTTTCTGAAGCAGAGCACTTCCTGAAAGCTCTGCTTGAAGTTGTCAGAGAGGAAAGCATAGAGGACTGGGTTGGCACAGGAGTTGACGTAGGTGAGGATCACCAGGGAGAAGTAGGTTATGAAGGTGATTTGGGTCTCTGGGATGGTGAAGAACTGGTTGACGATGTTGAAAGTGAAGAAAGGCAGCCAGCAGAGTACAAATACCAGCACGATGATCACCACCATGCGCGTCACCTTGCGCTCTGATTTTCGTTTCTTAGTCAGGCCTGCACGTGCGCCAACTGACTTCACCTGCAAGGAAAAATATTTAACTAGATTTTAGAAATCCAGTCAAAAGATCTCTGATTAAAGTTAAAGAATATTTATAGATACCTTGAAGACAATGAAAATGTAGCAAATGGATATGACAACCAGGGGGCCAAAGAAACCAAGGATAGATGTGTAGAGGATGAAGATGACAGACCACACCTCCTTCATCGGGTCAGGCCATCTGATGTTACAAGTGCCTAAATCTTCTAGAACAATTGAGAAGATGGTGACCGGCAACACAGTCAGAAAGGACACCACCCACACCATGCCACTGAGAATCTTGGCCATATGAGGCTTCCTCCACTTGGCACTGCGAATGGGATAAACCACGGCCAGGAAGCGGTCGATGCTCATCAGCGTTAGGCAAAAGGTGGAGGCGAACTGGCTCATGGTGTCAACAGTCATGCACACTTTGCAGAGAAAATCCCCATATGGCCAGTAAGAAAGAACACTGTTGGTTACGATGAAGGGGACTCCCAGGATGTAGAGTTCATCTGCCACAGCTAAGTTGAGGATGTATATGTTGGTTACAGTCTTTACTTTAGCGTAGCGGGCCACTACATAGATGGCCAGTGTGTTGCCCAGGAAACCCACAATGAAGACCATAGTATAGACGACCACAGTAGCCTTACTGAAGGGCGTCAGTGAAGATACGTCTGAGTCATTGCTGCTGTTGGTGCTGTAGAACAGAGGGGTAGACGTACTGTCATTCCCAGACCCCAGTATCCTGCTGTTCACGTAGAAGGAGGGAGTGCTGGGATCCATTGGGTTTGTAGAAGAAATGTGCTTATGAGAGAAAACACAAATATTATAAATGATGCTCAACAGTCAGTACCAAGAAAGAAAACAACACTTCATAACGTCCTGACTGTTTGAAAGTTCTGTGAATTCCTAGTTCAGAGAATCACATCAAACTTCTGCACAACAATCACACACACGCCCAGCAGCACAGGTGCTCTCTGGCCCATATTTACGAGGAGAGAGAGAGGAAAACTTTCCAGTGAATTTGTCTGGGCTTGTGGCCAACGTGATATTTCTTGTAATGGGAAATTGCATTTTATAGGAGACTGACATGACTTTAACAGATTTATTGATACTGTCTGGACTGGGAAGTAGCTCAATATCTGCAGTGATAATTTTGTTTGCACCTATAAAGAGGGGCAATGGGTCATGTAAAATGAGCAAAAGTCATTGTTTGAAAGCACTTTAGTATATAAAGGGATTTAAAAACAAAGCTGAGCTTTAAAGATACAAACTGGTCTGTTAGATCAATGACCTGTGGTCAGAACGAGTGATAAGAGATCTGCCACTGAAAAATCCTGCTTATATGTCTCTCACTGTTCAGGGGACCTAAACTAACCTTTGACATCTGTGGTGCCTTTACATGCAGTTACGTAATTTCAGATTAGAAAATAATGTGTTAAAGCCATCATGTATTTATTAGTCAAATGAGACTGGAACATTTATCTTCTGGACTGCAGATTTAAGAGTTTGAACAAAAATGTGAAATATAAAACACAATTATTTCATCAAATTAACATTGTTTTCACCTTCATAACTTTTCATACACCAAGGTTAAAAACTATCATTTTCTGGTTTACCATTAGTACATACTTGGTTAAGATTTTTCATTTTAAGATCCTTTGAAGTGGGGTTATTATAAACAGTTAATATCTTACCTGTTGTGGATAGCTCTTTGAATTATTTCAGTAATGATTAGTAGATCACTGCTGTCTGAAAACAGCTCCAATTTCAAAACTTTCATTAAGATTCATGTGAAAGCTATTTTATACTGTAAATCTTTACATCATTGTCAGTTTTGCATAACACAACAATTTACATAGAATTCTGTGATTAATCACAGGTCCAAATAGTGTCAGCAGCAGATAGCTGTAGAACTTCCTGTGCTGCCTAGGGCACTTCCTGCAGGAAAACTAATTGTAAAATATTAACAGTAATGTAATTTTATTAGATAATGTGTAAACGAGCCTTAAAACAGTAACTATCCATGGCTTTTAACATCAAAAGTTGAGTTGTATATATACAGTATTCCCTCGCTACTTCGCGGTTCAACTTTCACAGACTCGTTCTTTCACGGTTTTTCAAAATAAGATTGGACATGTCTCACGATTGGCTGATTGATGGATGAGCCACACGATTGGCATGGAATTTTTATTTAAAATAAATTATTTTAAAATATTTAGTCCCTGCTGCACATTTGTGCAGCCCTTACTGCAGGCATAAACTTCCTGCTGCTGTTGTGCGTGCAGAGCTGAGAAGTGGGCGTGGCCAAGAGCACTTGCAGGTGGCCAAGAGCAGAGGAGGCAGGGAGCTGAAATCATGACATTCTGTGTTCTGTTAGAGCTTTAGAGTTTAGAAACATTGTTCAGAATATTGCAAGAGTGTGGGAAGGGTTTAAAATACCTTTATATATATATATATATATATATATATACTAAAATAAACTACTACTTACTACTTGTATTACTATTCCTACTTCAAGGGTTTTCACTATCACGGGCCTTCAGGGTATGGATCCCCCGCGATAAACGAGGAACTGCTGTACTAAAATGAATATAACGTAGTTTCTTTGCAGATTTTCACTTATTGCGGGGGGTCTGGAAGGTAACCCACGTGATAAACGAGGGACTACTGTATATTAATACATTTTTATAGCCAAAAGTTGATGTTTACATCAAATGACTTAAGTGGTCTTAACTTATAGCTGATAGAAAAAAAATATTCAAACAAATCTCTAAGTAATCTGCAAGAACACAACAAACATTAGCTTATTGCTGTCATGCAAACAATAATTTCCTTGTATTTTTGCGGATGATGTGGCATTGTGTATGCAAAGTAAAAGTATTATGCTGAGTCAATTAGTTTTTAATCCTCCAGGTTCCTGAATTTGATCAAAATGGCCCTTTGGAGAAATACAAAAAGACGCATTTCTGCGCATCAGCTCACCAATTTGGTCAGAATTCAACTTTTTTTTTTTTTCTCCAAACTGGAAATTCAAAAAGCAATCTGCAGCAGATAAGATACTAACTGTTCATAACATTTCCACATAACCCCACTTCATAGAAGCTTTGCAGTTTAACCCAACAGGTTGAGTTTAATTGATTATTTGCAAAGCAGTGATGACGAATAAACAGAAATTTAATCACTCCGGGCTGTTTTCATGGCAGAGGAAGGTATAAATCCTGCTCTCTGTGCGACAATAATCATATTAGTGTCAGATGATGGGCCAGACCTCTGTCCCGGGTGTCACCTGCCCCCCATCATTCTCATGTTACCCTCTCCAATAAAACAGCAGCTATTGGACATAGCTGGACGGGTAATTATCAAGTGTCAGACGGTGCAACCCGAGGCTGTGATGTGTTGCACAAATAAATGCCTCGAACGTGGAGATTCAATGAACCGCTCTCCAAAAACAAGGGAGGGACGCGCAGCCCGCAGCGCGCTGTTGAGCAAACAAACAACTTGGAGCTCCTGTCCACTTCGAGCTGCGTGATATTTCTGACCAACAAACTGTAAAACAGCGTAAAGCCACGTAAGGGTCATTAAATGTGCTCATGTGGCTGCCTTAAACTTTAGAAATGAAGTCTCTGAAGCCACTTTTTGAGCATTTCACTCACTCTCTTGGGAAAATATGGACACAAATACAATTAGACATGGAGCTCCACTGGAGCGTTCTGGAAAATAACCGCGAGTGGATCCGTGGGAATGAAATATATTAGCAATGTGGGAATTTAGAAATTAACTGACCTTTTCTTGCCCACAGCACGGGGAGATAGAGGCTATTAAAAATAACTGTTGTTTTTTTCAGTTTTAGGGTGCAACTTTCTGCAGTGTTCATCAGAGCTGAATAGAAACGACATATTGGACACGTTTTTCCTCCTGCGCTTTGGTTTTTACGCACATTACGCGTCATCGTGCCACAAATTTATGATTTCAAAAAAACTATTCCCTCGACCTGACAAGTCTCGAGAGCATGATTTCAGACTCTTTCTTGGTTGTTTACCGTGTTGGGAGAAAGATTCGGTCCGTGCGCCTCTGCGCGCCTCTCCGTTATCCAAAGTGATGCGTCTTTCCAGCGCACACGCGGTGATGAAATCTCCCTGTCCTTCACAGAAAACACCACCTCGCGCTCAACTTTTCATCTGGTGGCATTTTCCAGGTGCCAGCGAGCGGAAGTCTCCATGCTGCTCTTTAACTTTGAGTTAGTCTCATCCATGAGGAGTCCTGCGCTCAGGGAGGGACAAATGTCTTCCTGCGCTGATGGCAAGTCAGCTTGTAAAGTGCCGCGACGCGCTGTGGGGTTTTATGGGCGGAAAACGTCACCCAGTCTCCGGGTGTGAAAGTCCCACCCATGGGTGGTCATCACCTTATCAAGATCAGCTGCTAGTGGAAATGAAAAATCGTGGTGAAATTAAAAAATCCCTTTTAAAAAATGTTCCTATTTCTTTGCATTTTCTATGCAAATGATCCACTTAAAGTGATGCATTGTATTATAGACCGCCACCGTAGAGAGTGGTTTGTCTGTTAGCAAAATATCTCATGCATTAGTGAACGGATTTTTTTTTAAACTTCCAGAAAGTTACACCCGCTTGGAATGTTAAAGTTGTCATTAAATGTACATTTACACCTGATTGTCCTTTGGAGTCAGCCACGTTCAAGAAGGCCACCCTACAAACTATAACTTAGCCAGTTTTACAGATAGTAAGCTAAAATTGTTTGTGGCAGTAGCTGAGACTCATCACCAACACACAGTCTGAGTGCTAACTGATGGGAAATCTAAGTTTAAAACCTTTTAAGTACCGTGTGTAACTGTTAGCAAAATAAATTAAGATCCACTGGACAGACTTTAATGAAACTCTCAGAATCAGAGTACGTACTTCTACAAATGATTTTCTTTTGGCATCAACCACAATCAGGATGAACACCAGAGTCACCTGAGAAAACACAAGGATGTCTATTACTTATTGTGCTGTACAATATTTTTGCTTCAAACTTTGGCATTAGCTGTTGAAGTCAAGCCGGTCTGTTAGCAAAATATGCCAGGAACCACTGGACAGATTTGAATGGAACTCTTAAAAAGTGAACATTGAATGACTTCAACCCAGTACAAGATGGCTGCCACAGTTCAGCCTTGTTCAATGCAGTTTTTCATCCAAACTGCTGCAGCTTTGCATTAACAGGAACTTGTATGGTTTGATCGTATCACACCAGTTTTGTCCTCCCTTCCCTGGCTCCCTGTATGTACCAGAATAGATTTTAAAATTCTCCTGCTAACCTTGAAGTGCCTAAATGTCCGTGCACCCTCATATCTCTAAGCTATTGGAACCATATGCTCCTTCTCTGGTGCTGAGCTCATCTGATCAGCTGCTTTTGACTGTTCCAAAAACAAGATTGAAGTGCAGAGGTGATCAGGCTTTCTCAGTCGTGGGCCCCAAACTTTGGAACATTCTGCCCCCCCACCAACATCAGGCAAGGCCACTTCACTTCCTGTTTTTAAACCTCTGCTAAAAACACATCTGCTATCCCTGTTTTTTTTTTTACACAGTGTGATGTTATTTAGTATTTTATTGCTCTACGTTTGTCTGTTTTTCTTTTGATGCTTTCAATTAACCATTACTTTTATTTTCCATTCAATTACTCCCATTGATTTCCAATGTAAAGCACTTTTGTAACAGCTGCTGTTTTAAATATGATTTATAGATAATGTTGACTTGACTTGACTTAGCAAACACTCAAATGGCTGAGAGCCTTTGTCAAAATGTCACATTTTGCAAGATTTCACAATATCTCATGAGACTGGGATCAATGACATTTACAAGGTTTGACCAAAACGGCTATAACTCGTAGTTTATGTGTCTCGACTTAACTTTTTTCAACTTAGTTTCAGTTTAAATCTTTGGCATGAGAGGTGGCGGGCGATATGCATTAATTTGAGGAAATATAAGTCGTTCATTTGAAACATCTAAGGCAGAGAAGATTTTCTGTCCTGGTTCAGTTTAAGGAGATGACCCTTGGTGCTGCCTCAGACAGGCATCAAGCTGTGTGCTGAGGGCGGTGTGTGTGTGTGTGTGTGTGTGTGTGTGTGTGGGGGGGGGGGGGGGGTTGATGGTGATTGTGAGGGAAAGCTTAAGCCATTAGTTTTATGTTGCTGTCGTCCAGCTCAACGCAGCGTTAACAACAGCCTGCTGCAAATACAGACACGCACAGGCAGAACAGGAGCCCCGCTCGTCCTTGCGTCACATCATCTCCGGTCATGTTCTTGTATGGAAGGAGGAACAGGGGAAAGCTGAGGATGTCTTGTGGTTTATGGAGCCTGTTTCAAGCGTTTTATGAGACTTGTGCTTCAGCAAGTGAACACACAGAGGCCTCTCTCATGAAGACCGTAGACATGGCTTGAGTTATCTGCACTGATGTTTATTTTTACTAAAAGATAGTAAGTCTTATGGGCACCAGTGAACCCCATGACCTGAAAAGGAAGAAGCGGGTAAAAGATAATGTATGTATGTATGGATGGATGGATGGAATAAGTCTTAATTAGACCCAAAGCAGTTTTCAAAAACTGCTGTCAGTTTGCAGTAACTTCAACATGTTTTAATTGGGATGTGAAGGCAGGTTTTGTAGCTGAGACCCATTTTTTCCTTCACGTTCACTAAATATGAAAAAGGTAATATTTTCCTTTGTTTTTTAATCCAGACTGTATTGTATTTGTCAGTTTCTGTTTTCTCAACTGCAACTTGTCCAAAACGCTGTGGCGTAGCTCTTGACAGGCAAGAACATGATTAGCCTTTTTTGGTTATTTTGCATCGACTCGTCATACCTTTAAGAATTAATGTTAACACTTTGTTTTTATGTCTTTGGCACCTGCTCACCTCTCTAGACTTTTACTTTTGCACGCCCTTAGGAAGGTCACTGAGGTCAAGATGTTACAGGATCAGAGAGTTGACATTACAATTGAGTAATGAAATCTATGTATTTTTTACCATTTAGCCCAGTAATTATTTTTCCTTTTTTTTTTTTCATTCAACCTTTATTTAGACAGGTAATCCCATTGAGCCTCGAGCTCGAGGACTCATTTACAAGAGAGACTTGATTTCAACAAAGAATGATGACAACAATGAACAACAGCAACAACAATAAACAATTATAAAAAGTCATACTGCAGTTTTTTTTTTTTTTTTACAAATACGATGGCTAAAAGAAAAAAAGTAACAAAAACAGCTAGATTCTAAGGCGACTGTAGAAAACTAAAAACAGGAACATGTCTGCATTGGTCCCTGCCAGGAGTCCAACAGATTCTTAAAGCCACTTAGAGAGGTTCGACCTTGAAATATTTTTGTAAGATATTCCAGGAAACAGGAGCAGAGTAGGAGAAGGCCCTTTTACCTAGTTCAGTCCTCATTGAGGGAACACTGCAGGTAATAATGTCCTGAGAGCGCACGCTGTAGCTGCACTCACGCAGAGACATGAAGGAGGAGATGTATGAAGGCAACAGACCAAGAAGTGATTTAAAGATGAAAATGTACCAGTGAGAGAGTCTGCGTGAAGTTAATGATGTCCAGTTAACCAATGAATACAGGGTGCAGTGGTGGGTACGATAATCACAGCCAGTTATGAATCTTAGTGCACCATGATAGACAGCATCCAACATCTGCAGGGTGCTTGTAGGAGCGTTCATGTAAATAATGTCACCGTAATCAATGGAGGGAAGGAAAGTCACAGATACAAGGCTCTTCCTAGCATTCAGGGTTAGACAGGATCTGTTTCTGAAAAAGAAACCCAGTTTAACTTTCAGTTTCTTTACCAAGTTTTCCACATGGAGCTTAAAAGAAAGATGTGAGTCGACCAAGATACCCATATATTTATAGGAATCAACAAACTCAATGGGGACACCATTTGAGGATAAAATCGGAGGAAGAACTGCTGGGACCAACTTCCTATTTGAATTTTTTTTTATTACCAGCAGGGAAGACTGGTGTTAATGTAATTACCTGTGTCAGTGTTTAAGAGCTTTGGACTGTTTGTCAGAAAAACGAGTAATCAATCACTAGATCATTCAGCTTTTTTACTTGTTTTAGATTTTTTTTTCATCTTTTTAAAAATTTCTATGTGGAGTTTTACACCTGTTCTTTTCAACAGCACTTTGACCAACACTTAAGGTTTTAATTGTGTTTTAGATAATTGGATTAGACTTGAGAAAAGACTGGAGCTTTTTCTACAAACCTACAGTATATTACAACATCCCTGTAAGGAAACCTGTTGAGTTGTGTCTCATTGACACAAACAATGAAAGATATTTTAGTGGGTACACACAGAATTAGAGCAATATCTACTTAAGACACAACATCTCAGTATTCAAATGTGTATTTTAAAGGATAATCTAATGTTAATACAGTAAAATATTGAAAATGTCACTTTAAAAATCCTCTCCAGCTGTTCTCTCATCCATTCTGTACGTCTTCACATGGGTCTTATATGTCCTTTGTCTTCTACAATTAATATTTCATTTTCCACTGTTGCGTTTGCATACTTATTAAATTATCTAAAGTGATCTGATTTTCTCACAAAGAACACTGAACATCATAATAAATCATGCTGACTGTGTGGCTCAAGCCATCATGGATGGAAAACACCACAGATCAGTATGGATTAGATTATGACAAACACGTACTGTAGAAGCACAAACACTTAGCCCAATTTACAGCTTAAAATATCACAAGACATTTGTGTTTGCTTTAAACAAGATGTTCTGGGAAATATGTAATTAACTCATAACAATATGTTCTAATAGTTCAGATCTGTTGAGGTGGGGTTCCTGTCACAGATTTTAGGAGGTTTAGACACATAATACTAACAGGATTTGAGGAGTTAAAGAAACAACTTATTTTTATTTCTATAACAAAAAACAGAGGCTGACGATGCGACACAAGGATCATAAGGAAGAAGCTGATGTGTAGATGGAAACAAACAGAATATAAAAGCTGGGACTAACAAGAGCCAAGGCTTCAGCTGTGACACGGGAACAGGTGAAGGCAGATGTGACAAGCTGACTGGAAAAACACTGAAGAGGAATGAACTGGCGGCACAAA